GTCTCTTTGTCTCTCTGTCTCTCTGTCTCTCTCTGTCTCTGTCTCTGTCTCTGTCTCTCTGTCTCTCTCTGTCTCTCTCTGTCTCTCTCTGTCTCTGTCTCTCTGTCTCTGTCTCTGTCTCTGTCTCTGTCTCTCTGTCTCTCTCTGTCTCTCTCTGTCTCTGTCTCTGTCTCTGTCTCTCTCTCTCTCTCTCTCTCTCTCTCTGTCTCTCTGTCTCTCTCTCTCTCTGTCTCTGTCTCTCTCTTCTTCTCTGTCTCTGTCTCTCTTTCTCTCTCAGTCTCTCTCTGTCTGTCTCTCTCGTCTCTGTCTCTGTCTCCTCTTGTCTTTATTTCTGTCTCCTTCTCTGCTTATTTCCGTCTCCTTCTTTGTTTGCTGCTGATGCAGATTGTTGCTGTCTCTGTTTTATGTGGGGAGCTGCGGAGACACCTCAAGGTGTCTGGGGACCTTTTATGTCTTCTAACTAAGAGGTGAAGATTTTATATTTTTATTTATTATTTTCTTTTGCTGTCTGTCTCCTTTTGTCTTTGTCTTTGTCTATTTATTTTTATTTATTATTTTCCTTTACTGTCTGTCTCCTTTTGTCTTTGTCTTTGTATATTAATTATTGTTTATTATTTTCTTTTACTGTCTGTCTCCTTTTGTGTCTGTCTTTGTTTATTTATTTTTATTTATTATTTTCTTTTACTGTCTCCTTCTGTCTTTATCTCAGGTTAACTGGAGACCTCTGCAGCTGTTTGCTGTCTCCTTTGTTTGTCTCTCTTTTTCTGTCGTCTTTGGTGCATGCAATATCATACAACACGACAGAGAAAGGAAATAAAACTTTTATTAAAATTAGAAGAGTGAAGCAGCAGCACTTACCTTGGCTGCTGCAGCCCGCAGCAAACCACCAGTCTCCTCCTGCTGCTGCTGCTGCTGCTGCTTCTGCTGCTGCTGCGGCAGCTCCTCCTGCTGCTGTTGCTGCAGCAGCAGCAGCAGCACACAAAGATTCCCTGGCCGTGCAGATTGCATCCTATTTATGCGCCCACGTCTATGAGTAAGCCCAGCAGCAGCAGCAGCAACAGCAACAGCAGCAGCAACAGCAGCAGCAACAGCAACAACAACAGCAGCCGCAACAGCAACACCAGCAAAAGCAGCATCAGCAGCAGCAAAACAGCGCGAGCAACAGCAGCAAAGACAGCGCGAGCCACAACAGCAACAGCAGCAGCAGCAGCAGGAGGATGCAGCGAAGTGGATGTTGCTGCTGTTATTGTTTGCTGCAGGTTTAGGCTGAAGGAGTTGTGCTGCTGCATGCGATCGGTCGCATATTTGGGGCTGGAGGAAGATGCTTTTTTTGCTGCATTTACCCCCTTCATTTCTGAACAAATGCATCGCCTTTCGAAGCAAGATGTTGTTAATATCACGCAGGTCAATACTCCTGCTGCTCCTGCTGCTGCTGCTCCTACTGCTGCTGCTGCTCCTGCTGCTGCTCCTACTGCTGCTGCTGCTCCTACTGCTGCTGCTGCTCCTGCTGCTGCTGCTGCTGCTGCTGCTGCTACTTGTGCTGCTGCTGATGGGACTGCTGCTCCTGTTCCTGCTGCTGCTGCTACTTGTGCTGCTGCTGCTGGTACTGCTGTTGGTGGTTCTGCTGCTGATCGGGATGCTGCTGCTGGTGGTGCTGCTGCTACTGGCGGTGCTGCTTGTGATGGGGCCTGCTGCTGCTGCTGTTGCTGCTGCTAGTTTCTGTGCATGCACACCGCCGAATGAGCCGAAGCAGCAAACGCACCTCTTGATTTGCTTTTACGTCTCCTCTTGTATTGTTGCTGCTGCTGTTGCTGCTGCTGCTGTTTGCTGCTGCTGCTGCTGCTGCAGGCCTTCACTCGCGCTGGGGTGAGCGACGAGCGGTTTATATATCTGCTGGGGCGGCAGTGGCAGTCACTTGCTGCTGCTGAAAGCAAAAAAGCAGCAGAGCAGCAGCAGCAGCAGCAGCAGCAGCAGGGCACCCCAGGCCCTCCGATGCAGCGCTTTGGCTGAGCCTGCTAGCGCTGCTGCTGCCGTTGCTGCTGCTGCAGCAACAGCAGCAGAGATACTCTTTTCGCTTGACTCAACTCTCCATAGAAGCCGTCCTTTCTCTTTCAGTTGCAGCAGCAGCAGCAGCAGCCAACGCAGCTGTTAGACTCGTACTCAGTGTCGCGTAACCCTAAACCCTAAACCCTAAACCCTAGCTCTAAGCTTCTAGCCCCAACCCCGAACCTAAAACCCTATTAAAGTGCTTTCGCAGCAAAAATAAGTGCTGCCAATTTCAAAAGGTTTTGTGTTGATGCTGCTGCTGCTGCTGCTGCTGCTGCTGCTGCGGCAGCAGAAAATTGCGTTAAGGCACAAGGCAATAAACCAAGCGACAAAAGCAGCAGCACTATAAGGCAGCAGCAGCAATTGCTGCAGCAAGTGCTGCTGCAGCACGGGCTGCAGGTGTTTGAAAGGAGATGCAGCAAGTTCTGCTGCATCTGCTGCAGTTGCTGCGGCAAGTGCTGCTGCAGCTGCTGCAGTTGCTGCAGCAAGTGCTGCTGGAACTGCTGCAGTTGCTGCAGCAGCAACTGTGCAAGTGCTGCTGCACGTGCTACAGCAACTGAAGCAGGGTGTACACATACACCCTATCCCTTTACGAAGGGGGAGGCAGAGCAGCAGTTTGCTGCTGCTGCGGTGTATCTCCAACTGCATGCAGCAGCTGCATCAACCACTTCTTTGTTGCTGGATCATCCTTTAAACTTGCATGCAATTCAGGGTTCCTACGACAGCAGCAGAGACAAAACAGCAGCAATTCTTTATCCTGCTGCTGCTGCTGCTGTTGCTGTTGCTGTTGCTACTGTTGCTGATGGTGGTGCTGCTGCTGTTCCTGCTGTTATTGCTGTAGGCGCTGCTAATGCTGCTCCTCTTGCTGCTCCTCCTGCTGCTCCTATTGCTGCTACTAATGCTACTAATGCTGCTCTTGCTGCTGCTGCTGCTGCTGCTGCTGCTGCTGCTTACTTGAGGGCTTCGGGAAGGCACTGCCTCAGAGCTTCTCGCGCCCTGGAGTTGTCGGCGAGGCGGAGGTAGCATCTGCACACAAACCCTAAACCCTAAACCCTAAACCCTAAACCCTAACCCTAAACCCTCGAGGGCATCAGCAGACTATACTACGAAGCATCTTTATTGTTGTTCGTAACTTACTGCCAGTCTAGGGTTTGGCAGCGCCTTCCACTCAGGGTTTGTGGTTTAGGGTTTAGGGTTTAAAGTTTATAATTTCCTGTAAATTTAGGGTTTAGGGTTTAGGGTGTGTACTTAGTGTTGACTGTTTCCTGTGGCTGTTTAGGGTTAGTGGTTTAGGGTTAGTAGTTTAGGGTTAGCGGTTTAGGGTTAGTGGTTTAGGGTTTAGGGTTAGTGGTTTAGGGCTAGTGATTTAGGGTTTAGGGTTAGTGGTTTAGGGTTTAGGGTTTAGGGTTAGACCTGATGACATGTTTTAAAAGCCTATTTGAAGGGGCTTCGCCTGCCCCTGCAACCATATTACAAAGAACTGTCGAGACAGCGTAAAACCGCTCAGCAGTTGCGCAGATGTAAGACAAACCCACGTCGTCCAGCAACACCTTCTGCACTATAAACGTAGCCACCTAAACCACAAACCACAAACCCTAAACCCTAAACCCTAATCCATTAACCACTCGGAATATAAACCCTAATCCATTAACCATTCTGAATATAAACCCTAAACCCTAATCCATAAGCCCTAATGTATAAACCCTAATCCATAAACCCTAAACCCTAATCCATAAACCCTAAACCCTAATCCATAAACCCTAAACCCTAATCCATAAACCACTAACAAGATAAACCACTAAAAACATAAAATGCTAGAAACATAAACCACAAACACTTAAGACCAATTCTAAACCCTAAACCCTAAACCCTAAACAACAAACACTAAACACTTAACATTAATCCTAATTCATAAACACAAAGCTATAAACCAATCAATAACCCTAAACCCTAAACCCTAAACCCTAAACGCTGAGCACAAACCCCCAAACCGCGGAGATATGGTAAATAATACGTGTTTAGGGTTATATTAGGGTTTAGGGTTTAGGGTTTAGGGTTTAGGGTTTACGGTCTTGGATAGCTCTGATCCTGTCTCCATGATACGTAAACATAAGGGTATTATTTCTGTCTGTAGCAAAAATGCGACTACTTGAGGCTCATCTGCTTTAACTAATGCACCGACGACACCTAAACATGTTAAACGTAAATACTCAAAAGGCCGCGTCTTAGAAACTGTGTTCAGAAACGGATATAAAAATAAAGGTATGTGTGCTGCAGCACATACACACACACATTATATTTATACTTTTTTATATATATAATTATATATATATATATATATGTTTGTATATATAATTATATATATATATATATATATCTATGTTTGTATATATAATTATATATATATATATATGTTTG